ATGGTGTCTTTCTATTCCTCAAAACAAATGTTGTTTTCCCCCCCACATCTGAAATGTGTCTGTCTTTAACAAGCACCGTCTACATAAAATACTCCTCTGCATGCACGTGGCTGGCACACAATGCACAGTAGGATGCTGTGTTTACTGTGTTCATCTCCCTAGATGGCCATCCAACATCAGCCCCCTCTCACTGAGCTATAGGGAGGCATTGGCTGTACAATAAGTATCAGCACCACACTACTTATTACTCTCCTCCTGCGTTCAGGAGATATTACAGACATTTGTCATAGCTAAAGGTAGTCATGACCACAAAGAGGAGACTTCATTTATTTGATTCATTACTGCCAATACCAGTTCTGAAGGCGGAAAGTATCACAGGCCATTCCTATCTGTCGATAAACAACCAGCTACATCAAAAGGGATTAGAAATAAAAACCAAACTGAAAAGATTGTAACTCAAAAGTCTGTTCAAAGTGGACTGGTAGACATCCTAACAAAAATGTACGCAAAAACTAAGGGAAGTGGTTGAGAGGGGGTTGAAGACCTCTCGAAAAACAATTAACTACAGATGGTAAGACAGAGCGAGTGCTACATCAAGACAGCAGTATTAAAATGAAAATCTGTAAAATGCCTCATGGATAGAAAGGTTTAGACAAAAACGTTCTGATGGAGATGATGTGTCACTTTACCCTCTCAGTAAAGCCTGATGGGTGGCTAGTGTGTACAGTAAGCCACAATAGCAAGCAGACATTTAATGGTTTTGTTTCTTTAAGACTCTGGGATCTCCCCTTGGGAGTGAAGCCTGCAGTGTACTTACAGCAGCGTCTGTACAGTCCTGCCTCCAACACGTAGGCACTTGCCAGTGTGAGAAAGCACCCAGCTGAACCAAAGACTGACCTACTGTGTGTCCACAAGGCCGGCCAACAAAGACGACCTTTCAGCACTTAGCAGCTTCTCTCTGCAGCAACGTTTAAAGCAATTCTCGATCCACTGCCAGAGGATCGAGTGCACAGGCCTTTCATACCATACCAACTCAATCTCTGTCTCTGCTATTAAGTGGCAAAGCAGGGTGAAACTGACATTCACCTTTTTACTTTGATTCACAGAGGTGCCACCAAAATACCCAGCCAAACACAGCATTCAGCAAACAACAGTACCAGCCAAAGACTAACTAATCATTACATGCCATCCTTCAGAGCTTAGCATTTAAAATTGGTTGTTACAACAAAGCAGATTAAAAACTACTTTCGTCAACCAGATTACATTTGTTATCCCAAGAAAATAGTTTTATTAGTTTCTTGGTAAAACAACAATCTTCACTTGACCGGGCATAAAGAAATTTATATTACACACTCTCCCTCTGTCTTCGTTTTCTCATCTACTCATTACTGTATATCAGAGTTTCTCCAAGAGATGTTGTCCAAAATGCACCATTAAATCAGGCTCTAGTCTATATTCAAGTCTATGATAGACCTGCAAGGAGTACTTAGCAAAGCAGAATAAGCAAACTTTAATCTTTTTTTCATACCATTCAAATGCAAAAAAAATTCTACTTTTTTTTTAAACACAGATTTAGTAACATTTGTGTTACTAAGTCAGAGGCTCAGTAAACAAGCAGCATGAGAACATCTGATATGTTTCATGTGACATTTATATACTAAACAATTAGTGAACTGTTTGAGAACTGATTGACAGATTGATACATGTAACAAACAGCATATTTTCTGATTTTGTCATTTTTACAGTGATCAATGAAATCTGTGATAAAAACGACAATATTCAACTCATGTCTAACTTATGTTCATAGATAACAGGACTGTTATTTGTTTTAGTCTGTCAGGAAATGCTCAGCAACAGCCTCTGACAAATCAGATACCCTACTTGACAGGCAGTGACACTCACGGGGTTACCCGGGAGAGCTGTGAGATCAGGGACAGACAGAAACAAGTGGACGGGGAACTATCTGCAGTCTGGGTGAAGGGAGAAGCCTTCTTCATGTCAACGCCAGTAATGCCCAGAGCTGTGCCAGCTGTTAAGTGTCCTGACCCATCCTGGCTCTACTATTAGGGTATTCCCATCTCTGGGAATGAACCTAAGATGCCACGAAACAGCAGTGTGTGTGTGCATTTTATTTATTTATTTATTTTTTATGTATTCACTAGAGCTGGGCGATATGAGATTTTTTCATATCACGATATGTTTTTTTCATTTCAGGCGATAACGATATCCATCACGATATAAGCCAAATAACTATATTTGTAAGATTTAAATGTGCCGTTGCTCACAAGTAAAATGTGAAATAATCAGCAGCTTGTTTTTATTAAAATATTTATTTCCCATAATAAGTTCAACAGGGTAGATGTACTTAATGAACATGAGACTTTTTCAGATAAATAAAGGCAAATATTGCAAACTACACAAAAGGCAGCCGCTAAAGCGTTTAAGTTTCAAAATAGAACAAACGAAACAGACTAAATTGTCAATTCCACTTAGAAACAAAATATTAATTCTAAAAATAAATCCTAGTTTGTTTTACAGAAGAACAGACAAAACTGACTAACTTTTGTCAATATCAAATAAACTGAGAACTAAAAGGAAATTCTCAATCTCTCCTTGTTGTATAGCTGAGCTTTTCAAACAGTTTTAACAGTTACTTTAGTCTGACAAAAGCCGAATGACGAATTAGCGCTTCCAGTCAGAGACTGAGGCTACGTCCACACGTACACGGGTATTTTTGAAAACGGAGATTTTCCGTTTTCGTTTTAAAAAATAATCCCGTCCACACATAAAGGCAGAAATGAAAGAAAACGCTGCTATGAACATGCCAAAGCAGCAGGTGGCGCTAGATTCCTAACCGTGCAGAAATGTTGGCCAATCAGAAGTCTAGAAGCCTCGGTGGGAAAAAGTAAACAAAGCTGGGGCATAGAAGCAGAACCGAGTCGTATGTGTGGAGGGACAGTAACTGTGTGTATATGTAAGCATTTAAACACTGCAGAGAGTAGAATTAACAGTATTGTAGAAATTCATTTCACCGAAACAATAACGTGGCGCACAGTGTGACGCATGCACCAGTTTATTGTATTTCCAGACTTGCTTTCGGCACATTTACAGTGCAGCTACTCTGTTTTTTGTCAGACTTGAAATAGCCGAAATACCTTCACACTACGGAACTTCTATGGCTCTTCCATTCGACAATCTCTCCGACGTTGGAACCATCATCTGTTTTCTCTTCGGTCACGCTCGGTTGATTTTTCTAGTTGGCACACTCATTTCCTCCATTACCCGCTGGCTGCTTCCCAAACAAACACACGTGCGGCTTGGCACTTGTGCTGTACGTTACAAGTCACGCGACGTGACGCTGCGGCTGTGATTGGTTCAGCTCTGCGCTACTTAATTTGGATTGGCTGGTTTTTTTTTTTTTAAGAGGACAAGAGCGGCGAGGTCTATCGCGATAGCTTAATTTCTCTATCGAGTAAAAGTTATATCGCGATACATATCGTTATATCGCCCAGCTCTAGTATTCACTGAATTTTCTTTCCCGTGTCTGTCCTTTCTTCTATACCCATACGTACACAACCTGCCAACAAACTCACCCAAAGCTACACATGTGCAAACACAAAACATCAACTGTAATTTTACTGTTACATGTTGCTGTTTTTCTGTGTCTTTCTAAAATATCAGATAAATAAAAGCCCAGTAATAACACTGATGCTGAAAATGTACGCCTACAAAAGATAACGATAGTGAACCTGAAAGGAAGCAACAGAAGTCGTAATTTTAACTCTAAAAACAACATGAAAATACACATCAACAACAAAACGAAAAAAGTCCTTAATAACCCCGAGTCTACAGAGTCAAGTCGGGTCTGATGAGCCCTTTGGCAGACTTCACCCTGTTGTTATTTTACAGTCGGAGATGTTGGGTCCAGTAGCCACGAGATCCACATAGTGGTGTTACAGCCCTAATGCCAGATCCAGATATAGCTGGACACCATGGGGATAAAAATACCCAAACAGATGGGAGGGTTCACAGGCAGAGGGGGAGAGGCACCAAGCACAATTAAAGACTTCAGACAAGAGGAGGACTGCAATTACAGCTGTTTGCTAACCTCTGCCTTCTAGTGGTTAGCACAACCTTTAGTTAATACCTATTCAGAGATAACGACCTCCCTCAGAGACAGAAACGTTAACGTTAATCATATATAAATCATATGCCTAGCCCCAACAGCTTCAGTATTAACACCTACTTAGAATGGGAGTTAGACCTCTTCTTCTAGACTGACCAAATTTCAGGGGAAAAACAGATTTCAAACATCAAAGTGGTACAAGTGGCAACAAATTTATGGTGAAGAGAAAAGTTGAAGTGCTGAGGAAATGGCTGAGCTGTCACAGGCTGCCCCAGAATCAAGCAATCAGAAAACAAACAGGCCTTGACATTTCATGTGGTTTTCACAGTCTGTTTGAAAGCTACTAAACCAGTGCCGCTGGGGAAAAAAAACAAACACCGCTCATGCTGACACAAAGCAAGTACACTACTGACTGAGCTTAAGGCCTGTGTGGGATTATTTAATAAGGGCCTACAAATGAATTAACATTATTCTAATGACGAAGAAATTGGTGAAAGGGAAGGAAGTGTAAAAATGATCTTTACAAGAATTGCTACTGTGCATGAAGTGACAAAGGTTACTAAAGAAACAAACAAACAAACACTGAAATGCACTTAAGAAAAATGTTCTTTCAGTCGCAGTTTCTTCACCTCATCCAGAGGACAGCTGACTCAAAAGCATACAAGAGCAGGTCGTGGGAAAAGGGCCCCGTCTGATTGTTCTTATTTACTTCCTGTGTATCTCACTCTCAAACAGTCAAGTGCACAATGAAACTGGGCTGTAATTAAGATAATAACTTTTCACAATAGAGATTTATCAGAATAAGTTATTTGAGGACACCTGGAACAGTAGGTTTTTGTTTTCAATTTCAAGAGATAGTTCAAGAGATACTTACCAACTTAATGGCCACATATTCGTTAGTATAGAGATTTTTTCCTAGCCGCAGTTCTCCAAAGTTTCCACAGCCAATTTTTTTACCCACGCGGAAGTTTGGACCAACCATAAGAACTCCAGAATTGCTCCCTGTACTCCTGCCCCCATGTCCAGGCCTGCTGCTTGTTGTCTTAGACATCTTTTTCCCTTCCTCTGTCTCTCCCTTGCCCCCTCTCTTGTCAAAATCCATAAGCTTGTGATACCCTGGCCTCTCCACGGTTATTTTCCAGCCATGCAAACCATAGAAACTCCAATGACAATGGAGACTGTTTTAGAGAGGGGGGGGGGGGGGGAACGCCTCACAGGACAGAGGAAAGGTGTTGCTGTTAAAATGCGAAGCGGTTCAGAAGACACTTAAATGAGCCAAAACTGCAGCCGAATGGACCCGTGTGTCTATTGGACAGCTTTTTCCTTTTTTCTTCGTTTACCAGAGGGGCTTCTTTGTTGTGCGTTTCTCCAGTCTCAGAGCATCATGTCCCCGCCTGACAAATAGGCAGGTGATGTTAGGATGTGTCCAAAGACACACATGCAACACTAGTCATAAAAAAGCACTCGGAAACGCAACTACTGCATCCACAAGGCCACTTGGGAACATCTCCTGGAGTGCCTCATTCCTTCTGGTCAGCCTTCAGTGACACTTTGGACGCTCTCCATGATGCAGGGCCACAGCTTAGCGGGCAACCCGGAATTACACTGACAGCAGGAACGAACAGTCTGGGGTGATGTTGGTTTGTTATCTGAAAAAGAAAAACATGGCCAGAAATCAGTCCATAGGTTGTGATGTATTTTGGTATTGTCTCGACTAAGAGCCCAGGCCATCATTTACACACAACCCAATCATTACTCACGCTTACAACTGAAATTAGCTTGTTTGGAGATGGACAATTTGGACTGTAATTGCAGAAATAAAAGCTCTGCAATGGCAGGTACCTGCCATAACTTTACAAACCATCTACAAAACAATTAAAAATGGTAAAAATGCTGGTAAATTTAGCAAATTAATCACAACTTGTTCCAGCAACACTTGGGCCTTTATGAAATTAACATTTTCGACAGGGAAAAAAAACAAACAAATTCAAGCCTTTTGCATGAGTATCACATATCTACAGTGGCTGTTCCTTACTACGGCTGAAATGAGATCTTTATGCAGACTGACGCAAAGCAAATTCAATAAAGGAATCAATACGAGGAGAACTGTTGACCTCAGACATGAGAAATTACAGATAAAATATTCTAAAAGAAACCATGTAACAATGTGCTGTGTGTTTATAATGAAGACCAACATAGCTAATACTGCTAAATAACCATCTTGTTGTCGTCTTTCACAACCACACGCAGGCGTCTCTGCACAGAGCCACTCCGTCATGTCCATGATCTAAGATGTTGCTGAAGAGAGCAGGTAATGCAGGCGCTAGCTTGGGGCAGCTACTCTTTCCTATGGAAAGGCACTTACACAGATCAATGACTGCTGTAATGCTTCATCTAATCACAACATTTGCATCACTGGACAACATTATTGGAAAGATTCAGAAACAGTCTAGTCCACAGCTAGCTCAGCCGTGTCTGACCATCACAAGATAAAAAACACAGTATCATCAGCTAGAAGTTTGCTAGGGATGAGCGAGTAATTTTTTGTGTTTAAATACGTCTTTACTACAACGACACATTTGTCAAAGTGACTCTGGCCAATGCAGAATTCATTCCAAAGACTACAATGAGAAAAACAAAGCACTATATTATATATATATATATATACCTAGGTTGCTTTGCATATGGTGACACTTACTACAGAAATTGTGGCGAAACTAACCTTGCCGGTCACGAGATAAGATGAACACTATGTGACGGAGTAAAACTTATCAGCTTGTGCATGCCAAAAGATGACAGCAGCTCCTGGAATGGTAAGAGTGCATTATGCGAGGCACTTCATTTTTCAAGCTGCCGGAGGCCAATACACTATCAACACATTTAAAAATAACAACATGATGTAAGGACATTGGGCAAGTATGGGAATATTTCTGAAAAACACCAATGACCTCAGTATCTTGCTGTCTTGGTTAACTTTCCGTAGGCTGCCCATGTTTTCAGTCTGTCCCATTTAAGGAAGTGGTGCATTGTTTTTCCCATGACAGCTATTTGACATAACTATAGAGTTGTTAAAAACATGCAAAGCGAACAGCGACATATTTCACGTATCGAGAAGGTATTTGGAAGCACAAAGACAGTCCATTTATGAATGATCCCCCTCCAAAAGAAACCTCCCTAAGCCAGATAATGTCCCTAAGACCAGTTTCATAAAGCTAACTAGCAATAACACTAGCAGGACCGTTTCAAACCGTGTAAATACGAACACAAACACCCACAGAAAATACCCCAAAATGCAAATGAGCAGCGGTAACCAAACCGGAATGGCAAATTTTCCCTCGTCACTTACCTTCCTTTTTTAGCTTAGGTTAATGATAGCTAGTTGCTAAGTTGCTACTGTCTTAACAGCTGTCATTTAGCGTTAGTTTCGGACAACCCAAAGACTCGCTTTCTATACTTGTTAGCCGATTTGTTTCCCCATAAAGAACGATAGATGGAAAACGCCGTTTTAAAAAAGTGAATACCGTCGGTATGAGCTTTAAGAAAGGCTCTGTAACATTACACTTGCTGGCTCGGCGGGCAAGGCCAGATACTCTAAAGCTATCGTAGCGCTGGCTAGGAAGCCCGAGTTAGCTTGACATCCTTCAGTCGTAGCTAGCTTGACTATTTAATTAAGAATTAACGGTAAGTGAATGTAAACATTTAATTTCAAGTTGTAGTTAAGCCAACATGTCACACAGTTGAATTAAGGTAACCTAGCTCGTACCTGCCAAAAACACCGATCCTCTTGGCCCAACGTCTGCTTAAAAAAAAAAAAAAACCCAGCCGACGATGTAACGCTAGCCAATTTGTTAACAACACAGTATCACAACAACACGGGCTACCTGTTAGCAAACACATTCAAATTAAATAAGTCGAAGCCTTACAGAGAATCAAATATTCATTGACTGACATTTCCTGAGCTACATATACGTGGCTAGTTAGTAAATGCTTAATAACCGAAAAATAACGTCCCAAGCGAGGCTGTTACAAATATTATCGACTGAAAAAATACTATAATATAACTATATATATATATCTTTGAGTCACCTCATAATGTCGCTTTTATGTTAGTTCAGATAACAGCTACAGCCATTACCCGGACCACTGCCGGGCAACTCCTTAATCCTAAACAAGCGAATGCACACCAACGGCAGCCCGGGATCTCTTACCGCTTAGCTCTCAAGCTAGTCATTTAGCAAGCTAGCACGCCAGGCACGTTAATAAACTGCGTTGCGGCTTTTTGAAAAACAGCCGCTGGGAATGAAGCCCTGTCACGGAAGAATGGTTACCTTTAAATGTTAGCTATCGAAACGCAGTCGAAGTCATGGTTCTGCGTTCGTCGCTATCTTCCTCGTCTGGTGCCTCTTATCCTCAAGTTGCTATGATTTCACTGTTGTCTCTTTAAGCCTCCCTTAACTGCACAGCGTCACCCGGGCTCACGCCACACGGCGCTACGCTGGAAAACCGGCGCAACCGCTTTGGTGAATAACCAGAAACATCAGGCGATCGTAGCTCCCCGACTACGTGCTCCAGACCAGACCGGTTGCTTTTGATTGACACATGTGCACCACCGGTAAAACTGAAACTAACATGCTGCAAGTGTAGAGCTGCTCAGCCCAGCGAACATCTACTACTACCGTCCTTTTAAAACGTACTAGTACTGATACTACACTGTAATTTACAGTGTAGTACTAACCCTTTTACAGTCTGTAAAAATACTCCTTTACAGATAAACAGGGAGCATATAGTTGAAGCATACATTAGGTTGTAAAAGTCCTTCAAGCTATTCAGTCCGTTGTGACTGAGGCAATAACGCAATGGTAATAATAATAATGATAAATGGTACTAATTATTGTTATTAATAATTAATTCATGTCAAACATCACTTCGATTTTAAAATATTTTAATGAAAAAAAGACAAATATACAATTTTACTAACTGTATGTACAATTTACAACAGTTTACAATAATTACAACATATTTCCTGAATTATGGGATAATTTACATGTAAGTGACTGAAACTGTCTAGTAAAGGTAGTGGAGTGAAAAGTGCTGAAAATCTTGGATCAGAAGTTAAAAGTTACATAAAATCCTCACAGTACGAATACCTCAACGTGAGCTGGTATTTGTACTTGCTTCTTTTTAAAAATAAACAAAAACACTGGAAATATCAGAGTTTTAACTTCCTTTCCAAAATGTCTGAGTAGGTTCTCAGCCACCCAGGCCATTGTAGTCTAAGGTGCTTGGAAAGAAAAGCGACTGGACTTCTTTAAGTTTCCTGAAGACGTTTCACTTCTCAGCCGTGAATCTTCTTTAGTTCAGAAAGAGCTTAAAGAAGTCCAGTTGCTTTTCTTTCCAAGCTGCTCACACTTCATTTCCAATAGTTCCACTGTTTTCCTGGCTATGGTCTATACCATAATCCTCTCTTGAAAGAGAACTCTGAGTCTAAAAGAAATAATAGAAAGAGCAGGTGCCAGTGATTTTATTTAACATTTCTATGCTTCAGTGCTCAGTTACAAAATGACTTTTCCCAAATGCTTTTGCTATGCTTTTTAATTGTCTACCCCTAATCCTAGTACTTAGCAGTGTAACAAGCTATATAGCGCAGAGCAGATTAGGAAAAATGAACTGTGAAAGTACAGAGTGTTACAGCCGTTTATGCAGACAGGTGAAACTCACAGAATATAAACGTATACTTTCAGCAGGTTTCAGGTTTGTCTCTCACAGGACTGCTTCAGGGGTCCACATCACTTACAGCCCCAGATGCGGATGTTGCACTGCTTTACTAGAGCAAGGAGTCTGAAGGGAGATGCTACAGTTTTTTGTAAGTGACAATGTAGGAATCCCGAGGGTGGAGCTGTGCTGCTGTATGACGGGCCAGAACACCGGAGGGAAGGCGAGCTCAGTGGACAGCACTCCTACAACTGGCTGGTGAGGTGTGTGACTATAACACTCTCCTGCCATGAAGGGGAAAAGCGGAGGAGAGGGAAGTCGTAGGGGGCACTGTGAGGTGTCAGAGTCTAAATCCCTGCTTTTGGTCACATCAGGAGGAGGAGGCGCCGATGGGATGCTCCTGTCACCGCATGATAAGGTGATGTCCTGTTTGTCTCTAGCCTTGATGTCCTCGTGTCCTGCTTTGCTGTGATGTGGAGCTTCCTCCAGACTCTGGTCTCTGGACAGAGGGGAGCATCGTTGACCTTTACGAAACTTTGCCCTCCTGTTCTTGAACCACACCTGGATGAGGAAGACAGGACGACCGATGCGCCACAAATAAGTGAGGTGTTTTAACACTATTAAAGCTTAATGCAGTGACCCTCAAAGTTAAACATGCATTTTTATTCTAAGATTATACTTGAGGTGTGCTCTCACCTGAATGCGAGCCTCGGGCAGGTTTATACAAACAGCCAGCCTCTCTCTCATGCCAACATCTGGGTACTGCGTCTGCTGGAAGGCTTTCTCCAGAGCCTGCAGCTGCGACACTGTGAATGCAGTGCGGCTGCGGCGCTGCTTCTGCTGGTTGCCATAGCGAGCCTCGAGGATGAGCTCTGGCAGGAAGAAAATGGGAGCAGCACATCACTTCAGGCACGTTTTCAGCAACTTACAGAGGATCAACAAAAATGTCAACAATATCAAAAGGACAACAACAGTCACTTAAACCAGGAATAATTCTTAAGCACCATGTTTAAATGGGTCACTATGAGTTTGGGATCACTGTGTTTTCTGTACTGGACAAACATATCTTTTTCTCACACTGTACAAATATTTAAACAAATAGCACTATAAAATATACTTATATTGATGTTTTTGTAAATATTACATTATAAAGATTATATTATAATCATGCAGCAACGAGACTGCTTCCCTGAGGCTCAATATCAATCATAATCTGTGTTATTAATCTGAAAGTAACTGTAGTTATTGATATAAAAAAGATAAATCTGTAAAAGATTAATGTACATTGTGAGAAAAAGAAAAAAGTAATCCCACCGTGGTGACTGACCCACCTGCCAGCCTCTCCGCCACAGTGAGTGTGTGCACTGTGGGACCTGCTGCAGAGTATGCGTGGTACTGCTCCGCCATCTGGTGGCGCAGGTCCACCAGCATGGAGTTAACTCCGTGGAAGGGGTACACGCCGCCGCTGGACGTCCCGCAGAAATTCAAGGAGTTCATGCTGAACCTGAAGAAACAGAGAGACTTCATTACCTTCAAGATTGTGCGTTTTTCCCCTTTACCGTGGTATCGATACGATAACTGCCCACCGAAGCGAAGTTAAGATTAATCGAAAATCCAGAGTTTAAGTCTCCACATCACCGCCAGCTCCTCTCCAAACGAATTAACTACTAATTAAATGGGAACACGGCGACACTTGTCTTATTATAAATTAATAAAAGACCATATTATTTTTTTATTGTAATAAAATCTGAGAGAGAATGAGAATAAACTCTATTGATATAAACTCCACTGATTTCTCTGAAATGACGTCATTATTTACGCTGGTGTAACAGAATCTGAAGTTCTGGGCGTAAACGGGTCAAAGTAGATAAAACGGTATAATTGCCTCTTTCGATAATAGTGATATCAGTGTGAACGGATCTAGGATCACGTCGGCACTCGTGGGTTATCACTTCTGCTTCTGCTTTAGAGCTATTTCTGTTTTGACTGCCGTTTAACTCGCAGTTTAGAGCTCAAAAGTCTTAGTTCGTAAATTCAGTGATATCATCACGCAGCCAGGAAGCTAAACTAGGATAGTAAGTTGCTATCCGGGTTAAGACGTTACTCAAATCTCCTCCTTTCTTTTATTTAAGTTTTAAAAGTGTGCGTGTTTTTACCTGATACTCGAATCCAAAGCAGAACCGTGAGATCCAGCTCCAAGTGCGTCTTTACGCATGCACACAGGTCGGCCAGTAAACGGTAGTCCAGGTTTTTTTAGTCCAATTTGGGCCTTATATCCTCGCAGAGCAGCGCTCTTTGTCGTGGCATGGGCTTAATTCTCCCAAACCATTCTCACCCACGGCTATTTAAGAAGCGTTTACCCAGGCTCCCCTCAGCCATTAGCCAATAGAAAGAAAGGTATTAGCCGGGATTAGGTGGGATGAGGGGAGAGAGGGGGGATGCGAGGAGCTCAAGTTTTTGAAACTATTGAACTTGAGAGATTTATGCCAAGGATCTCCCTATAAGAGCGCGTTTCATTCCCTCCCTTTAAAACAATTAAAACAATGTGGTCGGCTAATCTCCGAGGCAGGGCAGATTAAAATAACAGCCTTTGATTGTCCTCTCCTTCTCGGTCCCTCTTTCTCCCATACCGCTGGTTTTGACAGTCTCCCCCTCGGAGGGGGTTTTCTCTAAGGGTTTGTTTTGCTAACAGGGACCATATTTTGCCTATGAACTGTCACAATGTGAAGTTAATCTGAACCCTACTCTGCGAGAACAATTTATAAGCTCCAGCTGAGCTAAATTAGAAGTCCTCTCAGGGACACAAGACCAAATCAAGGACTGCATCAAATCACCAGAAAGAATAAAGTCCTCCAGCACCAAATAACCAGTGTGGAGCCAGAATACTTTCATCGCCATCACTTCTGGTGGACTTTTTAGAAACCATGTCTAGTTTAACAGCAAACACTTTGAAGTATTTCCACTTTTGTTTTCAGCTCATGGTGTCACGTTTGGACTCTCAAGGCTTAGAAAGAAGACACGCTGATGCTCATTTCTGCAAAGAACTCAGAAAACAAAATTTCTGAGACTTCGGTTCTGGCAAAGCTCCAAAAACACTGGATGCCCTCATGTCCCAGAATGCATCTCTTTGGTGTCTTCATCACACTTTATCTGCATCCCTGTTCTTTCACCTCCAGCTTATAATCAGGTTTTCTGTCACAAGTTTGTCATTTCAAAGCAAACTGGACAGTTTTATAATGAGACAACACCTCATTAGGAAACTTCACAACAGCGTACCAGAGCCCAGATTCTTGGGATGAATGCTGACCTAACAATTTAGTACGGGAGAAGACGTTTCAGAACTGTTTGTGTCAGTGTAACAAAATCCAGGTTTCTCCATATACTCATACTCCAATGACCAAGAAAAAGAAAAAGGAAGATATTTCTTTTGTTTTAAAGCCCAAAATGCAAAATTCATCTCTACAAAACAAACTACAGTCTTTATTCTTGGATTGAAAACAACGTTAACAATGAGTAAAACTAGGAAACCTCATCAGACGAGATCTTCTTCCAGGTTAAACAGAGATTTAACGGTGCTGAAAGAGTTAATAGAGTTTATCCCTTAAACCTATTCCACAGTAAAGTGGACAGATACAGTGAGGCTAATAAGTCTGTGTTTTCAGCAATGACTGTGTGGATACTTGATGCTTGATGCAGTCTGAAGAGTGTCCTGCACCGCAGACTGTTCATTTAGAAATGAAGCAAAGACCTGCATCAAACATGTTTTGATGGCAAAACAAGTCCAAAAATCGATTGTAGGTAAGAAAATTGCTCACATTTGTGTTGATACTCAGCAATAAAACACCTGAGCTGCCTCCCTGCTGGTCCCATGCCGTGTACTTGAGGGTTGACCACGGTTCACTTCACTTGTTTCCCATTCAAACACAATCAACTGCTTAGACT